TTATTACTCGGGGATAGTTTATTTAGGTTTATTACTCAGGGTTAGTTCATTTAGGTTTATTACTCGGGGATAGTTTATTTAGGTTTATTACTCAGGGTTAGTTCATTTAGGTTTATTACTCAGGGATAGTTTATTTAGGTTTATTATCCAGGGTTAGTTCATTTAGGTTTATTACTCAGGGATAGTTTATTTAGGTTTATTACTCAGGGATAGTTTATTTAGGTTTATTACTCGGGGATAGTTTATTTAGGTTTATTACTCAGGGTTAGTTCATTTAGGTTTATTACTCAGGGATAGTTTATTTAGTTTTAATACTCGGGTTAGTTAGGGGGGGAGAAGGGTAGGTCCAAAAATCGTATATTAGGAAAATACCAACTAACGCTGAGTACTAAACTGAGATAAAGTTAAAATCTAGAAAATATACAGGGCAGGGCTCTAAAAATTGTACTATAGGATTGAACTGAATTACCTGCAATGCTTAGGCGTTGACAGTTGACAGTTGATAGTTGACAGTTGACAGTTGACAGTTGACAGTTGACAGTTGACAGTTGAATCATACAACCTGCATGAATTAAGAGTCACTTTACATACGACTGCAGTCCTTTGATTGACTCAATTCCAGAATGGCTCACAGGTTATTTTTATATTTGAGTTTGATAATTAATCTTTAATTCATAAAAATCTATGGAATGAAACGTACATTGTACATTGTGCAAGTGTATGGTTCATAGTATGATGGTAGTGACTGTACAAGTTCAGAGAGGTTAGACAGTACATATAATTCTCAGGATTATCAGGGGCCCCTCTGTCTGCTGATTATAAATATATAATGTTGCTTAAACAGACTGTAAAGAAAATATGAAAGGGGGTACAGGCTGAAACCCTCAGGAGTTGAACAATGCCTATAAGACATCTATATGATGTTCCTGCCTCGAGGACGAGAACTTGACATAAAACTGTGTCAAAATTATCCCAAAAAGTAAATATGTAAAATACACGTCCGTATCACATGACCAGAACTCCCTCCAATGGCATTGCAGTATACTGGTCAAATGATAAAGAGCAAGTTTGAATTTCTCAGGCTCCTCTGGGAAATCGTTGTTTTCAGATTGGTTGTGTATTTGTTGAATATGATCTGTTTAATACTACAAATCTTAAACAAAATCTTACATATATACGTAATGGTATAATTTTGACACAGTTTTATATCAATTTCTCGAGACAGGAACATCAGATAGAACTCTTAAATGTCTTAATCAACTCCTGAGATTCTCAGGTTTCAGCCTATATGCTCCCTTTCATTTTTCCTTTACAGTCCCCTTAAAGGGACATAGAGACACTGAGTGGCTCTCCGTTATAAAGAGCGGCAATTATTTGAATGTAGAGAAGGGGAAGAATGGAGAAATGAAGAGAATGGAGAGAATAGAGAGAATGGAGAGAATGGAGAGAATGGAGAGAATGGGAAGAATGGGAAGAATGGGAAGAATGAAGAGAATGAAGAGAATGGAGAGAATAGAGAGAATGGAGAGAAAGGAGAGAATGGAGAGAATGGAGAAAATGGAGAGAATGGAGAGAATGGAGAGAATGGAGGGAATGGAGAGAATGGGAAGAATGGGAAGAATGAAGAGAATGAAGGGAATGAAGAGAATGGAGAGTATTGAGAGAAAGGAGAGAATGGAGAGAATGGAGAAAATTGAGAGAATGGAGAGAATGGAGACCATGGAGACAACGAAGAAAATGGAGAGAATGGAGAGAATGGAGAGAATGGAGAGAATGGAGAGAATGGAGAAAATGGAGAGAATGGAGAGAATGGAGAAAATTTAGAGAATGGAGAGAATAAAGAAAATGTAGAGAATGGAGAGAATCTAGAGAATGGAGGGAATGGAGAGAATGGGAAGAATGGGAAGAATGAAGAGAATGAAGGGAATGAAGAGAATGGAGAGTATTGAGAGAAAGGACAGAATGGAGAGATTGTAGAGATTGGAGAGAATGAAGAGAAAGAGAGAATGGAGAAAATGGAGAGAATGGAAAGAATGGAGAGAATGGAGAAAATATGTAATAAATATTGTAGTAAACCCCATATTTATATTATGTTGTACCTTATCAATAACCCAACTACCAATGTAAATCTGTATTGTGATTAATCTACCTAGGCTTGTAATCTACAAATTGTACACCCCTCTTTTTTAAGGTAAACCTGAATCTAAAACATGTAGTTTAAAGTATATTTTCGGCCTAAGGAACTTTTTATTATAAAATCGTCATTTTTTACTTTTTTATTGGAGTAGGGCATTTACTACAAATAGAGATAATGGAGTTTTTGTAAGTATTATTAACATTTAACATTAAGTGTGGAACAACACCACACCACATTTTTTTAAATAATATTATATACCTTTTAGTCTTCATCAGAGGTGTACTCAGGGAGGGGGTAGTATGAGGACTCAACCCCCTGGGTCAGTAAATTCATGGAATCACTTGAACATTGGAGGTTTTCTGGAGAAATTATAACTGTCCGATATATTTAGTAAATTGTGCTTTTAATAAAAGAAATTGTCTGAAATTCCTATTAATTTCTGTACTTGTAAATTGTAATTCAACCAAAATATAATTCAGATCAAGTATAGTATTGATCTTTCCTAAAAAGGGCTTTTGGACTATTGAAAAAATTAACTTTTCAAGAATTTTGAAAGTTGTTTTTCATTAAATATTTTTTTTTTCTGTATTTTCTGTGGGACAACGCTCTGCCTCATTTATAATTTCAAAACAAAATCATATAGTTTCAAGATGTTAAAGTCGTATTCCCTAGGAGTGGTTAAATGAAAGGATTTGTTGGATTTTTGAAGCACAACATTGTCTAGATTAAAACTAATAAGCTGTGAATATATTTATCTATTTTTAACGTATTTTGAAATATTCTTTTTATCACAATAGTTTCGTCAAAAAATGGAACTGATTCTTCTCTTACATCCGTTCCAGCAGAAGCAAAACAGATCCTAAACATCATTAAAGGTTCTGTTATCTAAACACTATGGTCGTTAAAGGGTCTGTTTCCTTAAAACCATGGTCGTTATAGGGTCTGTTTTCTAAACATTATGGTTTTAAAGGGTCTGTTTCCTAAACACAATGGTCGTTAAAGGGTCTATTTCCTTAACACCATGGTCGTTAAAGGGCCTATATCCTAAACACCATGTATTTTAAGAGTCATTAAAGGGTCAATTTCAATTAACCCTTAATTTAAAGCGTCACATATTCGATTCACGATAGTACCCTTTTCACCTTATTATAATGAATTAACATTGAAGACTATGTATATTTGTGTTATCTGTATTAAAAAGATTTAAATTTTCTTATTTTCTTTTCTTTTTCTGCCATGCGTTCGCAAAAAGAATATTGAAATCTCATAGAGAAATAATCCATCAGGTTTGAAGGGTCCATTGTAAATTGAAGATGCCCATTTAATAAATAGGGGTTATCTGAAATACATATACAGTCCCTTAAATTATCATACAGGTTTATCCACAAAGGATGAGACCTCAGAGACGACGAAATTTATGTATATTTTCCCTACAATTTTAAACTTTTCTCTTTCTATTCCAAATAGTTTTGTTTATCCATCTGATCGTTGAATTTAGACCGTACGCGTAATTACAAGTGACATTTCATTTTAAAATGGCAATGCCCGATTCACAACAGTACCGTTTAAAGCTTTGACTGATCACATATGAATTAGATATCAACGTTTATAATGTTGAAAACAGATTATTTTCAATTGTGGATTCTCTGCAAAAATAACTGCAGGAAAACATTTAGGAAACATCAGAATTAGGCACTTTTAAACCTAGAAAAATGACAATATTTCCACCTTAACAATCAGATACAGGTTTTAAAGGTACGCAATGTTTATTAGGCATTGCTTCTTTACAGTTCCTTAAGTAAAAATGAGTTCGTGTAGGCCGTGAAACCTTACCTATTAGAGCCAAGGACAGAGTAGGAATTGAGCCAAAATTCATGTCCATGTTGCATAAATCTAAAAAAACATCAGAAATCAATTAACAAAGAACCTGAGTTAACTTTATTTTTTTTTTCAAATTAACATTTAAATGCTCTTTTCTCCACCAGGGGAGTTAGTATCAATTGCGTAATGAATTAAATGTATATTGTATATACGCTCCCTACATATATAAATGTATATTGTATATACGCTTCCTACATATTTAAATGTATATTGTATATACGCTCCCTGAATTTCTTGAAAACATGTATTGTCATATTCAAAATTGGTTCCTGGACATCCACGGAATGATGGTATTTGTTCTATATACGCTCCCTACGTATATAAATGTATATTGTATATACGCTCCCTACGTATATATATATATATTGTATCTACGCACCCTACATATATAAATATATATTGTATGTACTCTCCCTACATATATAAATGTATATTGTATTGTATATACACTCCCTACATATTTAAATATATATTGTATATACGCTCCCTACATATATAAATGTATATTGAATATACGCTCCATACATATATAAATGTATATTGTATATACGCTCCCTACATATATAAATACATATTGTATATACTCTCCCTACATATATAAATGTATATTTTATATACGCTCCCTACATATTTATATGTATATTGTATACACGCTCCCTACAGATATAAATGTATATTGTATATACGCTCCCTACATATATAAATGTATATTGTATATACGCTCCCTACATACTTAAATGTATATTGTATACACGCTCCCTACATATATAAATGTATATTGTATATACGCTCCCTACATATATAAATGTATATTGTATATACGCTCCCTACATACTTAAATGTATATTGTATTGTATATACGCTCCCTACATATATAAATGTATATTGTATATACGCTCCCTACATATATAAAAGTATATTGTATATACGCTCCCTACATATTTAAATGTATATTGTATATACGCTCCCTACATACTTAAATGTATATTGTATATACGCTCCCTACATATTTAAATGTATATTGTATACACGCTCCCTACAGATATAAATGTATATTGTATATACGGTCCCTACATATTTAAATGTATATTGTATATACGCTCCCTACATATTAAATGTATATTGTATATACGCTTCCTACATATAAAAATATATATTGTATATACGCTTCCTAGATATATAAATGTATATTGTATATACGCTCCCTACATATTTAAATGTATATTGTATACACGCTCCCTACAGATATAAATGTATATTGTATATACGGTCCCTACATATTTAAATGTATATTGTATATACGCTCCCTACATATTAAATGTATATTGTATATACGCTTCCTGCATATATAAATGTATATTGTATATACGCTCTCTTCATATATAAATGTATATTGTATATACGCTTCCTTAATATTTAAATGTATATTGTATATATACGCTCCCTACATATATAACTATATATTGTATATACGCTCCCTACATATATAAATGTATATTGTATATACGCTTCCTACATATATAAATGTATATTGTATATATACGCTCCCTACTTATATAAATGTATATTGTATATACGGTTCCTTAATATTTAAATGTATATTGTATATATGCACCCTGCATAAATATATATATATTGTATATACGCTCCCTACATATATAAATGTGCATTGCATATATACGCTTCCTATATATACAAATATATATTGTATATACGCTCCCTATTGTATATACGCTTCCTGCATAAATATATATATATATTGTATATACGCTCCTTACATATATAAATGTATATTGTATATACGCTTCCTGCATAAATATATATATATTGTATATACGCTCCCTACATATAAATGTATATTGTATATACGCTTCCTACATATATAAATGTATATTGTATATACGCTCCCTACATATATAAATATATATTGTATATACGCTCCATACATATTTAAATGTATATTGTATATACGCTCCTTACATATATAAATGTATATTTTTTATACGCTCCCTACATTTATAAATGTGTATTGCATATATACGTTTCCTATATATATAAATATATATTGTATATACGCTTCCTACATATATAAATATATATTTTATATACGCTCCCTACATATATAAATGTATATTGTATATACGCTCTCATAAATATATATTGTATAACCGCTCCCTACATATATAAATGTATATTGGGTACCAGTACAAACGTCAGACCCACAAACGTCGGACGTTAAAAACCTAAGACATACAAACGTCGGACAGTACCAACGTCGGACCAGTACAAACGTAAGAAAAGTAAAAACGTCGGACTAACGAAAAAAAAACTTTATTTGACTTTTAAGATTTTTTTGGTTTAAAAGTTATTTTTCTTATATCGAATGGGTTCTTGTCACTAAATCAGAATTCTCATCCTAACATTTTTGCAACTTGATGGTATTAATCTTTGTTACCAACAAAGGGTTTGAGACTTATTTAGTTATCTTTGATTTTTATCATGATAAATTTTTAAATGTATTTCTTATAACAATGCAGTATTTTTTTTTAACTCGACCATGGTCCACCGTTCTTTTTTTAAAATGTACCCGTTCGATGTTTGTACTGGATGGACGTTTGTACTAGTCCGACGTTTTTCCCAGTCTGACATTTGTACCAGTCTGACGTTTTTAAGTCCGATGTTTGTACTGTCCGATGTTTGTACTGTCCGATCTGTGTTCCGTCCGACGTTTGAACTGGTATGGTACCGTATAGTGTATACATACACTCTCTACATAAATAAATGTATATTGTTCATACATATTATAATTGTATTAAAATACCCCCTGTGGGGGGGGGGTATTAGAGCCTGAGACCCAATAGCTTGCCCTCTGAACATGTCGCTGGCTAAATTATACAGGTTGTCCCACGAAACTTGACAATAGCAAACGAATTGAAGGTCGTCTTTTATAGTTCAAAGACGACTTTCAAGGATAAACTCCATACCTTGGCTTCATAGCAGTGAGCTACGTTCGTACATTCCCTGATCCACATACTCATGTCATAGTTTACAAACATAAGTTCCTAAACAAATTAAAAATGTATATAAAGTTATAATCTCTGTTTTTCTGTTTTTCTCGACGATCATAACTCAGGAATCCCGGGACTGATTTGCCTCAAACTTTGACTGGGTTAACTCGGGAGAACAACGGGAGTGTTGTACGGCTGGTTTTGAGATTCTAAGCTGACTGGGTTGACTTTTAAAGCGAAAATTTAGTTTTTTGGTAAAATCGACTATGTGCTGGTAAACGGCGGGATTTACTGTGAGCAACCAGAGCAGCGCCGGGTTCTCAAGCTAGATAATTATAAGTTATATATTAGTTAACACTTACCCCACAACTATCTCACTGTGGAATATATTAGTTAATACTTACCCCCAGCTATCCCACTCTGGAATATATTAGTTAATACTCACCCCCCAGCTATCCCACTCTGGAATATATTAGTTAATACTCACCCCCCAGCTATCCCACTCTGGAATATATTAGTTAATGTACTTACCCCCCAACTATCCCACTCTGGAATGGCTGGTTGGCCCCCCGACTTCAGTTTTGCCTTCATAACAATATATTCTTCTTCATAAATCAAAAATCCCTGAAAAAAAAAAAATCTTAATCGTTTAGATGTTTGCAGACGCCATTTCAGGGACCCCTTCTCCATGTGTAAAGGTACACGCACAATTTACAACGGTAACCTTCATCAGAGTATCTGAAAAATGTTCAGTTTTGACAATTTCTTTCTTCGGCTCTGCTGTAAATATCCGCAAGCGACTTTTTTTAAGAACCCATAATTAGAATTACAAGGACATCTTTATCATCTTTATTCAGACGAAGGTTTAAAGGATCTACCATTGTGAATCAGACATGTCCTCTTGATAGTAAATTTTAAAATTTTCAACAATAGTTAACTGCTCTAGCCGTTAATGGTACCGTTATTACAAAATAAAAAATGTTGTTAACGGCTAAAAAATCGTTAAAGGCACAACCGTTAACAGTATATTACAGTATTAATGGCATTAACGGCGAAAAAAATTGCATTAACAGATAAAAAATCGTTACCGGCACAGCCATTAACGGTATATTACATATTAACAGTGTTAACAGCGAAAAAAATCGTTAACAGTTTATAAACACAAAAGACAACATTTTAAAACATCAAAACGCTCAAATTTTAAAATTTGAAAAAAATGTCATGCAATTTTATTCAGAAAATAACGAAATTTACCGTTTTTAGCTTTTCAGTTAACATTTTTAACCGTTATTTTTTTCAAAAACGGCCAATCCATCTTGTTAAAGATTTAAAAATTAACAGTTTTTGCCGTTCGTTAACGGACTCTTCAGTTAGCTTTCGAAACCCTCCGTTTTGTTAACGGAACTTTGCCCAGTCCTACACTGCAGTAATAAAAATGCGTACACCTCTAAAATAACTCTCTTTACATTATAATTCTTTGCCTTTAACCATCATTTTTTTTTCAAAGACGACTTTTGAGGGTCCATGATATAACTGTAAAACATACCGTCTCAAGATCCCATTTTGGATTTGCGGATTTAAGAAACTGTACAACTGCTGTTAGCTCCTCAACAGACTTCATGTACGGTTCAACCTCACCTCTAAACATTTTATAGTAAAGTTACCCACAGATATATAAACTGAAACTTTATAAATATTACAATTTCAAAATTAAATAAAGTTGTTCGCCTTTAATATAGTCTTTTATGGCTTATATTTGTATAACCGTACTGTGCATGCATATCCTTTATTTCTATTTCCTGCTTAAAACATGTAAATTTACATATATGTGCTAAACGAAAATTGATTCTAGACCAATCAGTTATTAGTGCATGATGTTTTTTTTGGATTAGATGTTTTAATTGTTGCATGTTGGGGGATTTTTCAAGATAATTTGTTTTTAAATAATACACAATATTTTTTTCACTTTTTCAACTGAAATTGATATAAATAATTTTCCGATTTTTTTGAAAACGGATAACAAAAAAACACTAAAACAACAATAAGAACTTACGCTGTTAGTGTGATCGGAACATTTTGTCCTGTCTTAGTTTCCATGAGATAGCACGATTCGTTATACATCTTGTTTCCAGTTGCCCGTCCAGGATCCACCGTGGTGTTGTACGAATCCGGCTAAATTTTAAATCAATATGGATCCAGCATATGCTGTTGAATGAACCCGACTAAATTTCAAATCAGTGAGGAACCACCACATGGCGTTGAACAAATCCGGCTGAACTTCAACTCAATAAGGATCCACCACATGGCGTTGAACGAATCTGGCTCACTTTCAACTCAATAAGGATCCAGCAAATGCTGTTGAACAAACCCGGCTAAATTTCAAATCAGTTTGGAACCACCACATGGTGTTGAACGAATCCGACTCAATTTCAACTCAATAAGGACCACCATGTGGTATTGAACGAATCCGGATAAATTTCAAATCAATATGGATCCAGCATATGCTGTTGAATGAACCCAGCTAAATTTCACATCAGTAGGTAACCACCACATGACGTAGAACAAATTTTACTAAATTTTAAATCAATAATGATCCATCATATGGTGTTGAACGAACCCGGCTAAATTTCAAATCAGTATGGATTAACCATATGGCGTTGAAAAAATCCGGCTCAATTTCAACTCAATAAGGACCACCATGTGGTATTGAACGAACCCGGCTAAATTTCAAATCAGTAGGTTACCACTAATTACCACATGACGTAGAACAAATTTTGCTAAATTTTAAATCAATAATCATATATCATATGGTGTTGAACGAATCCGGCTAAATTTCAAATCAGGATTAACCATATGGTGTTGTGCGAACCCGGCTAAATTCCTTTTTTGACCTGATCCAGGTTTGGGTCAACCTCGTCCAGTCCACAGGTATAGCATTGTATCCTAGAATAAGATTACTGCAAATAAACTATCGTTTTTAAAAAACGAACGATAGACCAAATTGTAAACATGTAATTTGAAAAAATGCTGGTTCTAAATAGAAATTGAAATAGAAAGTCGTCTTGATTGCATTGATATATACAAAACTTAATAATTATGATAATTAACAATTGTAGGTTACAGCTTAAAAATTTTAATCTTGAAAAATTTAAATTCTGTCAATTTCTCTTTTTGTCATCGCTGGATACATCCACAAGGATTTATAGTGGAGAAGCAACAATAAAAAAGTATCAACTGTTGGAAAAAAACATTGTTTTCATCATTTTTAAACTGTTTTTAGGAGATATTTGTGAACATTTGGATTAGGGCAACTTCTTAGGTAACTTGAGTCAAAACTATGGTTTCTAATAGAAATTCCGTTGCGCAGAATTGCGCGGAATCAATGGGCTCGCAATTGCGCGCAAGTAAAATCTACTTGTGTTCTCTTCAGAGTTCTCTTTATGCATTGCTGTTTCAAAAATATAATAAATCAATATTGTACATCATTCCAATTTAAAGGGACTGTCAGCGTAATTTCAAGGGATCGTCATTCTAAATTTTGTTATTACAATGATACCTCATAGCTCTTCATCGAAATAAATCCTAGTTTTTCTCTTTTCTTGATTGAAAAATTGATTGAAAAAATTGAAAACATCAATTTTGAAAAACAGAAAAAATACCTCATTTTTGATATGACAAAATTCAAAGGTTTCAATTTTGAATGAGTTTATTAATAATAAATGAAGAGTCACTTTTAAACTACATTTACAATCTTCATATATATACTTTGCTTGTCAGTCTGTCCGTGTGTATCCAATAAACGTCAAAACGGCTGAACCGATCGGGCCCAAATGTGTTTTGGACCTCGCGTGATTCCAGAAAGGTTTCAGAGGTAATAAAATTTTCAACAAATTTTCCTTTTTCAACATTTTTTGTTGAAAAGGAATTGAGTCTTTGCCACAAACTCTGATTTTCTAATCACTATATCTTTGGAACCAAATGTTGCATACCTAAGATATTTCAAACTATAAATTCTGTTAGATCAAATTATCTGAGTTTGAAATATCAAAGGTTTACAACATCGAGTTCTAAAGATATTGAGGTTTAAATATTTGATTTTGTTCCAAAGACTCAATTCCTTTATAAAATCCACGAAGCTTTTTTCAAAAAATCCACGAAATTTTTTGTTGGTTTTTGTTTTTACAATGTACACAAAGAGAACATGTTAATAATGGAAGATGGGCCTGAAGCGCCCTAATAGCTTAGTCTCTTAAAGTTGATTTGATTTTAGTTTGATCTAATAATAATTAGCAAACAATTGTAATTTAAATCGACCTTCCATCATTAGAACATGGCATGTCTGATTCTCAACGTTATCCTTTAAACCTTTATCTGATTTATAATGTGAAAGTTCCTCTCATTGTACCTGCATAAGAAATGCGCAAGTCACTGATAGAGTAACCACAATAAAAATAATGAATTCTGAAAGAGCGAACATGGATACATCATTCATTCTAAATCGAAGCTTTCAAGGGTACCATAGTAAATCTGATTTTTAATAAATGAAAAATTTCTTTAAATCAGTTGTCGGTTTAATGTTAGAGACCCACCATGTTAAATTAAAATTTTATACTAGATTGAATTATAGCGCCTTCTATTTGAGAGTTATAAAAAAGAGCAGTTTCGAATTTCTATTAAGTAAACAAATTAAACTTTTGCTACTTTCATACTTATTGTGTGTAAAATTAAAACTAGCGGACCTACGAGGTCAGAAAGCCGTACTAGTAATGTCGATTAAATTTGCGTCGAATAAGTTTGAGTCGAGTATGGCTGCTTCAACGTGGATGGATAAAGAATGACCAGTAAAATGAGTGTTGATCATGTTTCTATGGTTCGCAGAGAAAGCTTTATATTTATAAATAATGACAAGACTACAGTTGTCTAGCTAGAGGGATAATCTATCTTTCTATCTATCGATCTATCTATTGCTATTCATGTAAAACTAATTAGATATGTTTTAATATGCTTTGATATTTGTTGTGTACATGTCAGAAAATTACTTTAAACTCTAGTTATTCGAATTAATGTATAAACTATTTTGCATAATATAAATTCGCACCCTGATCTCAAATAGTTCTCCTTAAATCTATTTAATTGAAATGTTTTGTTATTATTAAAATTAGGTGGAAAAAATAATCAAAACTATTTTCGACCTAATTGCTTTATACTTGTACTGCTAATATAATCATTAATCATCAATTTGTAATTGTAAACTCGTTCTGTACACAGATACATGTATTTTAGCCATAAACTTTATCTTATCTTATCTAACTATCTATCTATCTATATCATATGTATTTCACATTATATATATATATATATAAATATATATATATATATATCTTTCTTATAATTTATCTTTCTAACGAAAAGGGGAAAGTATGTGGCCACTGGCACTGGCCATGGCCCATCATGGGCCACGACATTTTCCCCTCCCATGCCACATATTAGCTTTTTTGTTTTCCGGCCGCCACTCGAGCTACAACCGTTCGGTCTTCCATGCTACAACAATACAATACAACAATTCTAGCCTAAATGGTGTTGTTGAATTGGGATTTTCACGAATCTAGCAACATCACGCAAGAAATATATAAATTCAGAACATTTATATTTACGTGTTGATATGAAATAATGATGATTCCTTATTATTTCTCCTGTACATCCTAGACTTTTTAATCTTTGAAAGAGATATTAAATACTTAGTTTTATATTTAGAAAATATTAATACAACATACATATAATATTCATATATTTACTCTTGTTTACAAATATGTGATAGAAAATGGTTTTAAAAAAAAATCAAAATTAACATTTCATGCGATAGATTATAATGTTGGTTAAATTTTTCTTAATTTCAGTATTTTGCTAATGTGCGTTTTACAAGTTATCGCAAGGGAAAAAATCAATATATAGCAAATTGTAAAAATGAAATGCTTTTAATTTCATATTTTATTTAGTTAAGCTTCAAATTAAATTTCAAATGTTTAAATTTAAAGATTTTAATTATTACTCCGGTCCATTTCAAGTATTACCGGCCCGACTTTTAAGCAACTAGAGCAAGCCCTTTACCAACTCTGAAAAAGAAATTTTTAACAATTTTAAGCTTTTTGAGTTTGAAGGAGTGACAGGCAAAAATTGAGTACAACGCCTCAAATCTGTGGTTTCCAGCTTAATGAAGAGTTTTTTGCCGAAAATTTCACAATTTGCATTCCGTTCGTGAATTAAAAAAGGGAAACTATCTTTTTTTCGCGAAATTTCATGTTTATCTGTTTCGCAAAAAAAATCGCCAAAACAATGCGAAAAATTTTGCTAAATTTATTTTTCGCTGAAAACCCTAC